GGGGGGGGGGGGTGCTTATTTACAAATTGAACCCTCCTTTTTCATTTTTCTTGTCTTTACATATCTGTTTCTTTTTTGTTTTCCTCTTCCTTGCTTATTTAGGCATGTAAGTGACATCCACTAGCATTGCTTTAATTCTGCTGGTGACAGTGGCAGAACTTTCCTAGATCCTTGTTCATGTCCTTTTTCTCTTGCTAATTGACTAGATAATCTAAGAAGTCAGGTAAGCATTAACTCTTCGTTGACTGAGAATAATAAAACTATTGCTAGACACTAATTTGTATAGTTTTACTTTGTATTTTATTTATTGTTTATCTTTCCCTTGTTCATTTGTTATAACTTTGGAATTATTTACACACTTTTCATCATTCCTTTCCTATAGCTTAACTCAATATGATTTTTCCCCAAAACGAATAGATTTTTACAGGGCTGTGAAAAAAAGATCCTGAATACCATAGAAAATAATACTTGTGTTTTTCTTCAGTAAAATAGTAAAGATTTGTAATGTTTCTGATTTTTTGGATGTTTTTGTGTCAGTTTTTTTAAAGCTCATCTATTTGTATTCATGTATTATTACTTTCGCTTTAAGAGTATTTTACTTCCAAGGAAAGTTTTACATTATTATGTTACTATGTTTCCATGCCATTCTTTTCCCAGAGGAACATTATTTTCTATGTTATAATAGACATTTACTTTATAGGCACTGTTTAAGAATACACATGTGGCCCTGGCTGGGTAGTTCAGTTGGTTAAAATGATGTCGAAGGTTGTGGGTTTGATCCCCGGTCAGGGCACAACCAATGAATGCATAAATAAGTGGAACAACAAATCAGTGTTTCTCTGTATTTCTCTTTCATCAATCAATAAATTTTTTTTTTTAAATTACGTGTGTGGCATAAAGTGAGAGAAGATTTTTGATGATATCTTTGGGCCTTTTTTGATCTTCTACTAGACATTAAAAACAGATAGTTGAATGAATTCGTATTCAGATCTCTTTAGTGTAGTAGTCTGAGTGTTGTATAATTTAGAGCACTATTTCTGTATCTAGGAAGCTGAATATGGTGGGCATGATCAGATAGATTTGTATGATGATGTCATCTCTCCATCCGCAAATAATGGAGATGCCCCAGAAGACCGGGATTACATGGATACTCTCCCACCAACCGTTGGTGATGATGTGGGTAAAGGAGCAGCACCAAATGTTGTCTATACATATACTGGAAAGAGAATTGCGTTATACATTGGAAATCTAACGTGGGTAAGTAAAGTTGCCATATGAATTGGTAATGGATTTTAAACTATTCCAGTAGTTAACTTTGAAGTTACTAGATTGGTTGTTCTATGTACTTGCTTATGCAATGAGGAGGGCAATAAAAGTACCTTTAAAACATCATAATTTCCACATCTTCTAATTTTGAATTTTATAGTCATTGAACTTATTTTGGTAGAGATTCCAATTAAATATAGTTCAGTTCTTTTGTCTTCAAATCAGTTATTCTTTTTACCTACTCCTAGACTTCAGCTATCTTAATTTTACAAAGAAAAAGTGCCCACATAAGGTCTCAAGCCAGAATTCAGAACTGTAGGAGAGAAAGAGACAGTGACTCTTGGCTTTAAAGTTTCATTATCTAATTCATGTTACAGACTTGTTGAGTTTAATTTCTGCTCTCTCTCTCTCTCTGTCTCTCTTTGGATTTTGAGTACATATATTGAAGCTGGGGACAGTGAAACAAGGAAAGGCTTAGGATAGAAGAAGCAACAGGAGAGAGTCTAGGTGGGGCTGCTTTGGTTCAATGAGAAGTCAGAGAAAAGGGGCCTTGGGGACAGGTTCAGGGGGTTTGCCCTGGAGGAGCTGCCACTGCCCTTTGCTCCCTTGCTTGCAAGTCTTGTGAGTCCCTTACAGTTTAGGATATGCAGCCTGTGGATGAAGAAGAGAGGGAAGGGAAAGGTGCCCCGCATGCTCACAGGAAGGAGAGCATGCTAATTTCTGCTCTTAAATTTTTAATCTGATTTATGGAAATACTGCTAGATATACATTGTATCTTAATTTGAGTTTATGGGACTATAAAATTAGTGGTTAGGAGTTTCATTAACTGAATGTTTAATGTAGCTATTTATAATTTTATTAGTATTACATTATAAATACCAAAGCAGTCCTATAGAATTTTTATATCTCTACTTTAGAAACTTGTATTTTATATACTGGAAAGTTTAAAAATTGTCTAGAAATCAAAACTTGTCACTTCTCAGAAGGAGACTTGACTTTGGATGGTGAACACATAATAAAATATACCAGTGATTTTCAGCCAGTGTGCTGCAAGAGGCACACTGGTGTGCGGCAAGAATTTTTAAAATATAAAGTACCTAACTATTTAGTCAGGTGCACTGACCTCTTTTCCCTTAGATTGTCAAAGAAAAAAATGACAACAGCCAACACAGCAATAGCCATCTGGTCTGAATGAATCAAAATTATACCTTTATTTTTTTTGTCAGATTGGCAAAAAACATTTTTTGGTGTGTCACACAATTTTAGTATTGTATTTGTGCCATGAGATGAAAAAGTTTGAAAGTCACTGCAGTATGCAGGTGATGTATTATAGAACTGTACACTTGAAACCTATATAATTTTGTTAACAGTGTCACCCCAATAAACTTAATAAATAAAAAAATTAAAAACCGTGTCACTCTTCCATTTCTTTAATAGCATTTTATTTTACAATGTTTACATTTAAAAAAACTTAATTGACCAATCTTCTACCACCCAGTCTGAGAAGTTTTATAATATTGGAGACAGTAGCAGTGCAGTTATGGAGAGTGGTTGCTAAGTAAAACTTTGAATCTGAGCTCCTCCATTTATTAATTTTGTGATGTTGGACAAGCTCTTTAACCTCTCTCTTGCATCTTATGTGAAATGGGAATAATAATAAGACTTGTAAGATTGTTTTAAGAGTTAAATATTTGATATGAAGTATGTGATAGGTACTTAATACATGTTAGTTTTGGTGGTGTTTTTTTATTTTTTGTTTTTTTGCATCTTACATTTAAAAAAAAAAAGGAATTTATTTCCCCAAATGATTGCCTTTGAGGAGAAGTGACAAGTGATACTGGTTTTATTGAAAATGTAAAATCTTTGCAGTTTAAAGTTGGAAGAGACCAGAAACTTTTTCAGAGTTAAAAAAACAACAAAAAACCTGTCCTATCTCTAAAGGTTTGTATCTTCTAATTTCTGAAAATTATCAAGGAATGCATTTTGCCCTTAGGTACTTTTGTTCTATTTAAAAATTGGGGACTGGCTTGCAGTAACTGCCCTTAGATTTCCACTAAGCATTACTTTTCTCTTGTTTATTCTGTTTACCCTTAAAAACTGAATTGAAACAGTAAACATCTTCAATATGTTTTGATGGTTAATGAGGGGGAAATGTCTTGCAGTGGACAACAGATGAAGACTTAACTGAAGCAGTTCATTCTTTGGGAGTAAATGATATTTTGGAGATAAAATTTTTTGAAAATCGGGCAAATGGCCAATCAAAGGGGTAAGATTTTTTTCCCTAATATAAGTTAGTAGCTAGTGATTACGGTTTTGGGGTAAGTTTTCTTCAAGTTAATGCTTACTATTCGCGTGTGTAGGGTGCTATATTATCCACATTGGCAGGAGGTTCTTGGGCAAAGATTTGTACTCCATTTGTGTTGTGATCTAGCTCACTAAAATTAGTGAAGCTGGAAGTGTAGAGATTATGTTTGTTCTTTAATTTTCCTGAGTTTTCTCCATCTACAGTTGAAAGGATTATTGAGATGACAGTTTGAAGAAAGGATACTATCCCTGTGATTAAAGGGTGGGGGAACAGGGCAACAGGAGAGTAATGTAACATGGAGGTTTTGCTTTATTTTTTTAAACTGTTAAACTATACAAATGCGATAAGGTCATTATAGGAACATTATAAAGGATATTCAGAAGTAAAAAATAAAAAGCCACAATCTAACTATCCATAGAGGATCACTTTTAACATTTTAGTGAATATACTTTCAAGTTTTTTCAGTGGTTGCTAAGTAAGACTTTGAATCTGAGCTCCTCCATTTATTTTGTGATGTTGGACAAGTACTTCATATTTTTATTGCAAAAAAAACCCAGGATTACAATTCATATGTTTTATAATGTGTTTGATTTGATACAAGGAGTAAAACAAGTATTTATCAGTAAATACACGTTCTCTCTAATGTCTTAATTCTTTCCATTATACTTTATATGTTACTGTAGGTATTTTACCATTCTTAGTTTTGGTTATTTGGGTTGTTTCCAGTCTTTGCCTTTTATAACTGTGTTATAGCAGGAATCATTTTATATAAAACTGTCTTCTGAACGTATGCAGTAGCCTCCTACTTGGTGTTCCTGCTTTCATCTTATTCTCCTAAAGTCTATACTACACATAGTAGAAGTTGAAAAAAAGTGACATCAATATTCATCTGCTCGGAATTTTCTAATGGTTTCTCTCTCACTCAGAGTAAAAGCCAGAATCTTCACTATGGCGTACACACACTATGTGATGTTTCTCCACCACCTCTCTGACATTATCTCCTACCACTCTTTGCTTCCTTACCCTGTTTCAGCCACATTAGTATCTTTGTTGTTTCTGAAACATATTCTTTTTTTTTTTTAATATATCTTCATTGATTTCAGAGAGAGGAAGGGGGAGAGAGAGACAGAGAGAGACAGACAGACAGAAACATCCATGATGAGAGAGTCATTGATCGGCTGCTTCCTGCATGCCCCCAACTAGGGAACGAGCCAGCAAGAGCCAGCAACCAGGCATGTGCCCTGACCGGGAATCGAACCGCGATTTCCTGGATCCTAGGCCGACGCCCAACCGCTGAGCCAAGCCTGGCTGGGCATGAAACATATTCTTTCTTAGGACCTTTATTCTAGATGTTTCCTCTTTTGGTTTATTTTTCCCCCCAGATATTCACATGGATCTCACTTCATTCAGGACTCTGTTTAAGAGTTCCATCNTTTAACATTTTAGTGAATATACTTTCAAGTTTTTTCAGTGGTTGCTAAGTAAGACTTTGAATCTGAGCTCCTCCATTTATTTTGTGATGTTGGACAAGTACTTCATATTTTTATTGCAAAAAAAACCCAGGATTACAATTCATATGTTTTATAATGTGTTTGATTTGATACAAGGAGTAAAACAAGTATTTATCAGTAAATACACGTTCTCTCTAATGTCTTAATTCTTTCCATTATACTTTATATGTTACTGTAGGTATTTTACCATTCTTAGTTTTGGTTATTTGGGTTGTTTCCAGTCTTTGCCTTTTATAACTGTGTTATAGCAGGAATCATTTTATATAAAACTGTCTTCTGAACGTATGCAGTAGCCTCCTACTTGGTGTTCCTGCTTTCATCTTATTCTCCTAAAGTCTATACTACACATAGTAGAAGTTGAAAAAAAGTGACATCAATATTCATCTGCTCGGAATTTTCTAATGGTTTCTCTCTCACTCAGAGTAAAAGCCAGAATCTTCACTATGGCGTACACACACTATGTGATGTTTCTCCACCACCTCTCTGACATTATCTCCTACCACTCTTTGCTTCCTTACCCTGTTTCAGCCACATTAGTATCTTTGTTGTTTCTGAAACATATTCTTTTTTTTTTTTAATATATCTTCATTGATTTCAGAGAGAGGAAGGGGGAGAGAGAGACAGAGAGAGACAGACAGACAGAAACATCCATGATGAGAGAGTCATTGATCGGCTGCTTCCTGCATGCCCCCAACTAGGGAACGAGCCAGCAAGAGCCAGCAACCAGGCATGTGCCCTGACCGGGAATCGAACCGCGATTTCCTGGATCCTAGGCCGACGCCCAACCGCTGAGCCAAGCCTGGCTGGGCATGAAACATATTCTTTCTTAGGACCTTTATTCTAGATGTTTCCTCTTTTGGTTTATTTTTCCCCCCAGATATTCACATGGATCTCACTTCATTCAGGACTCTGTTTAAGAGTTCCATCCCTGCCCGGCCGGGCGTGGCTCAGTGGTTGAGCATCGACCTAGGATCCAGGCGATCAGGGTTCGATTCCCGGTCAAGGCACATGCCCGGGTTGCGGGCTCGATCAATGACTCTCTCATCATTGATGTTTCTATCTCTGTCTCTCCCTCTCCTTTCCTCTCTCTGAAATCAATAAAGATATATTTAAAATAAAGAAAGAAAGAAAGAAAATGGAGTTTGAGTCTTGGTTTAAAAAAAAAAAAAGTTCCATCCCTGACCATCTTGTACAAAATTTATTTTTTCTGTTACTAGTGTATTTTTGTTTGTGTATTGCCCTGTCTCCCACTACATTATAAACTCCATGAAAGCAGGGATTTTGTTTTGTTCACTATTGTATCCCTAGCCTTAGGATGTTGCCTGGCATGTAGAAGGTGGTGTGTTGCTCAATAAATATTTGTTAAATTAATGAGTTCATTAAACTGTTCCTAAATTTAATCTTGCCTCAAAACTGCGGAATTTTTTTGTTGACCAGAATGAGGGCTCTAGCTAACAACCATTTTGAACATTAGGGAGAAAGGAGTTCTAAGCTCCTAAAAGTCCTTCTGATCACCTAGAATATACTATAGCTGTGCAAAATTATTAATCATTTTTTCATTTTAAATGTATTTTTCTTAATTGTGATATAATTCAGATACCATAAAATTCACCCTTTAAAAGCGTTCAGTGGTTTTTTTCGTATATTTACAAAGTAGTTCAACTATTTGTATCTCATTCCAGAACATTTCATCACCCCTAGAAGAAATCTCATACCCATTAGCAATCTGTCTGTACGGACTGCCTTATTCGAACATTCCATATAAATGGAATCATACAGTAATAAATGGCCCCATGTCACTTATTTAGCATGTTTTCAAGGTTCATCCATGTTGTAGCATGTATCAGTACTTAATTCTTTTTATGGCCACATATTTCATTATATGGATGTACCCCCTTTTTTATTTTACCCATCATTTGATGGACATTGGGGTTCTTTCTACTTTTGCTAATTACGAATAATGCCCCTATGAATAGTCATATACCAGCTTTGTATGAACATAATATTTTCAATTCTGTTGAGTATATATATATATACACCTAGGTGTGGAATTACTGGATTATGTGTTGGCTCTATATTTAACTTTTTGAGGAATTGTTAGATTGTCAAAGGGGCTCTGCCACATTACATTCCCATCAGCAGTGTATGAGGGTTTCAGTTTCTCCTCATCCTCACCAATACCTGTTGTCTTTTTATTAAAGCTTCCGTAGTGGGTGTGAAATGGCATCTCACTGTGGTTTCGATTTACATTTCCCTGATGGTTGATGATGTTGAGCATCTTTTCATCGTAGCATTATTCATAATAACCAAAAGTGGAAACAACTCAATTGTCCATCAATGAATGGATTTTTTAAATGTGTTATCCATATGATAGAATATTATTCAGCCATAAAAAGAAATTAAGTACAGATACATGCTACAACATGCATAAACCTTGAAAACATGATGCTAAGTGAAAGAAACCAGTCACAAAGGACTACATATTGTATGATTCTATTTATATGAAATGTCCAAAATAGACAAATCCATAGATTCAGAAAGGGGATTAGTGGTTGCTTAGGGTTGGGGGATGAGAGAAAATGAAGTGACAGCTAATGGGTATAAGGTTTTATTTTGGTGTGGTGAAATGTTTTAAAGTTGTGATGGCTGTGAAATTGTGAATGTACTAAAAACCACTGAACTGCACACTAAATGAGTGAGTTGTATGGTACGTTATTTAAAAAGTTAAAGGTGAGCCCGGCTGGGCGTGGCTCAGCAGTTGAGTGCCGACCTGGGATCCAGGCAATCAGGGTTCGATTCCTGTTTGGGGCATGTGCCCAGGTTGCGGGCTTGATCCCCAGTTGGGGGCGTGCGGGAGGCAGCCGATCAATGACTCTCTCATCATTGCTGTTTCTGTCTCTCCCTCTCCTTTCCTCTCTCTGAAATCAATAAAGATATATTTTTTTAAAAAGTTAAAGATGAAAGTATCAACTTACATAGTTTTAATTTAAGAAATGTTTTCTTAGATAAAATTGAATTCAGGCTATTTCCTTTTATTTCCTTTTTAATAATAGTAACATTAACCTCTCCTCACTTTCTATCCTCACCCCTTTAAACAACTTTTAGGTTTGCTCTTGTTGGTGTTGGATCTGAAGCATCCTCAAAAAAGTTAATGGATCTGTTGCCTAAAAGAGAACTTCATGGTCAGAATCCTGTTGTAACTCCATGCAATAAACAGTTCCTGAGTCAATTTGAAATGCAGTCCAGGAAAAGTAAGCAATTCCTCTGAGGCTTTTATTAAAAGATGTGTATTTTAATCAATGTTGCTAGCATTTATTAGATATTATACTAGAAAAGTCATTTTAATATTTAGTTTGTTGGAGAATCCATTTTAGAAAGTCCATGCTTTACATTTGATTTAATTACTGGTTATGACTGTGGTCCTATGTGCTGGAAACCTACTCCCATTTTTCTCTAGGTGTCACAAACCCAATATTATTCAACAGTGTGCAAGTTCTGTAGCCCTGCCATTCTTGTCCTGTCATTCCCATCCTAGAGAAAGGAAGAAACTACATTCTAATCCTTAGATTGAAGGAAACTTATGTGGATGTGTGTTATGGTGGTGGAGAAACCACTGATAACCAGAAAATATTCGTTGATTTCTGCTTGGCACCAAGACCTTTCACCACTTGGTAAAGTGACTGTAGAAAAGATTTGCCATTGCCCACTATGAATGCTATCGCTTAAAGAGATAAAGTGGATGATCATGTAATTAACAGAAATTCAAGTGGTTGGTGTTTTTTTAATGTTTTAGCACTTAAGGCTTAAGTAACTAAAGACTGTTACAAAATTTAAAGGGTTTGTGCTTAATGAAATTAATATTTCTGTTGGAGAATTTTGGTCTTGGCTGCTGCAGAGAATACTGTATTTTGAAAGTAACTTATAATCTATTCATTGGAAATACATTTATGCCTGGCTATTTTGAGACTTCAAAAGAACTTAGATAGATGTGAATGTTTTCCTAATGAATACTTCTCAAGTAGTTTGGATGGTCCCAAGGTATATCTGCAAGTTAGTATATAGTATAAATGAACTTTGAAATATGGTTGTTTCTAATAACAATGGTTACGTTTCGGAGAACTATTTTAATAAATGCTATTTATGAGTATTTGGATATTTGCAGCTACACAATCAGGACAAATGTCTGGGGAAGGTAAAGCTGGTCCTCCAGGAGGCAGTTCACGTGCAGCATTTCCACAAGGTGGTAGAGGACGGGGCCGTTTTCCAGGGGCTGTTCCTGGTGGGGACAGATTTCCTGGGCCAGCAGGACCAGGAGGGCCACCCCCACCGTTTCCAGGTAAAATTTTTCTTAAATTACCATGGATAAAATGTGTCTATCTAATACCTCTTTTCCTTTTCTCTCTTTTCAAGTAATGCATTATTGATGTGACTTACTCTCCTTGTTATGCTATTTTTGGAATCCAGGAAATTTGATCAAGCATCTTGTTAAAGGAACTCGGCCTTTGTTCCTGGAAACTAGGATTCCATGGCATATGGGGCACAGCATAGAGGAAATACCCATTTTTGGCCTAAAAGGTCTTTATTTTTCTCCAAACTTGCTTGACTTATATATAGAATATTTACATCCGTCTTATTTTCTTACCTCTTAAAAAATTCTTTCAAGACAATTTTTCCTTGTTTCACTTTCTAGCTTGGCATCAGAGTAGAATATAAGGTGGGTGATTTCACTGTAAGAAATGTGTGTATGCTGAAAGATGGAAACTATCGCTAAGCATTGTTGTCTTTAGTAAAGTTTTTATTTCAATAATTTTTCTTAAGCATAAATTGAGGAAGTTAAATTTGTAAGGATATACTTTACCTTTGTAGTTAGTGTAGCATTTACTATGTGGGTTTTATTTAAAGAGAAAGAATCTTGCTCTGAGTTATGCTTTAAAAGTATAATGTTGGCAGAAAGGTTAAAATACATTATTGAAGTGTTGTTGTTTTTTCTCTCTCTCCCCTTTATTCTGTAGCTGGACAGACTCCACCACGTCCACCCTTAGGTCCTCCAGGCCCACCTGGTCCACCAGGTCCTCCACCTCCTGGTCAGGTTCTGCCTCCTCCTTTAGCTGGGCCTCCTAATCGAGGAGATCGCCCTCCACCGCCAGTTCTTTTTCCTGGACAACCTTTTGGGCAGCCTCCTTTGGGTCCGCTGCCTCCTGGTCCTCCACCTCCAGTTCCTGGCTACGGCCCCCCTCCTGGTCCACCACCTCCACAACAGGGACCACCTCCACCTCCAGGCCCCTTTCCACCTCGCCCACCTGGTCCTCTTGGGCCACCCCTTACACTTGCTCCTCCTCCGCATCTTCCTGGACCACCTCCAGGTGCTCCACCGCCAGCTCCACATGTGAACCCGGCTTTCTTTCCTCCACCAACTAACAGCGGCATGCCTACATCAGATAGTCGGGGTCCACCACCAACAGATCCATATGGCCGACCTCCGCCATATGATAGGGGTGACTATGGGCCTCCTGGAAGGTAAGTTAGTATGTATCTTTGAATGTAAACTTTGTAAGTTTGGTAAAAGATACTGTATACTCCATCACTGAGGTTTTTAAAAAATTACGGCCTTTTCCCCAGATATTTAATTTTCTGTGCTATATTCTCTTATTAGAAGAGGCAGTATGGTATGGTAAAAAGATACAGAACAGGGTTGAGAATACTCCACCTCTGCCACTTACATAGCCATGTGATTTAGGGCAAGTCACTAACTCACTGGGATTCATTTCCTCCATATGTTTTTTAAAAGTATGTTTTTTCTTGAGTGTTTTGGAGAGAGAGGGAGAGGGAGAGAGCTATGGGGAAACATTGATAAGAGAGAAACATCAATCGCATCAGTTGGCTGCCTCCTGTATACCCCATACTAGGGTTTGAGCCTGCAACCTGGGTGTGTGTCCTGACCAGGAATTGAGTCTGTGACCTCTTAGTGCATGGGACAACATTCAGACAGCTGAGCCCACACCGGACAGGGTTACATGTACAACTTTTTTTTTTTTTTTTAATACATTTTTATTGATTTCAGAGAGAGGAAGGGAGAGGGAGAGCAAGATAAAAACAGAAACACAGAATCGAACCTTGATCTCCTGGATCATAGGTCGATACTCAACCACTGAGCCATGTTGGCCGGGCTACATGTACAGTTTTTAAAGTTGTCAAGTAGCTTTAGAAAATCTTGGCATTTTACTCATTTTCCCCCCAACAAATATTTACACTTATGGAGTACCTTTTATTTTCCAGATACTTTTCTAGGGATTTGGTGGCAAACTGGATAGTCTGAGATCTTATATCTTATTATCCTTCAGTTGTGAGTTGGGCTCTCTGCTTAGAGTATCCAAACGGAATGAAACCAGATTCCTGTCCTTGATAGTGTAGGCTATATTTTGCAGTCAACATTTTGTGTGTGTGTGTGTGTGTGTGTATTCATCAAAAAATTTATATCTGTTTCTGTGTGACTGAAAAATAATATATTGTAGCTGTGTAAATATGTCATTCCTGCCCTCCAGAAAAACAAGATTTCTAAGCTGCTACTTCATTTCAGCTATAAGATAGTGGTATAAGAGAATTTTGGTTAGATTTGCTTTCTTTGTAGGAGAAAAATAGCATGCTTCAATCTGGAAAAATAAATACTTAGATCTAAGGTATTTCTCAAAAGCATCCAATATGAATTGCTTTATATATTGTTAAGACTAACTTAGAAAATCTGTTGAATATGAGGTAAGGTTTATTCTGATTTTATAGGGAAATGGATACAGCAAGAACGCCATTGAGTGAAGCTGAGTTTGAAGAAATCATGAATAGAAATAGGGCAATCTCAAGCAGTGCTATTTCAAGAGCTGTGTCTGATGCTAGTGCTGGTTTGTATATTTCTTCCTGTATTAATATTTCTTATTTATGTTATTAAGATAACCATTTACATATAGTAATTTTTATATTCCGAAATCATTACCTATACTTTATTTAAAAGGTATTGAAGAAACCTATGTGTCACAGTGTAATGGAAAAACTCCTAATTTAAAAATTCTAGATGTAGGTTTAAATCTTAGCCCTGACATTTAATGAGTCAGGAGCCTTAGAGTCACTCATTTATTATCATATTTACAAAATGATAAACTTGCTTCACACAGCTGTAATAATACCAGATTGTGCTAATTTTGTGCACATTTTTAAAAGCCTTTTCCAAATGACAAAACACTAAAAAAAATTAAGATACCTTCTGTGGTCATTTTAAAGTTCACTTCTTGTATAGAATGCTTTATACTCTTACTGCAGGTGGTTTGGTGGTATTTTGAAAATAAAACTCACTTGACTTCAATCCCTCTTCTCCTAACAGGTGATTATGGGAGTGCTATTGAGACATTGGTAACTGCAATTTCTTTAATTAAACAATCCAAAGTATCTGCTGATGATCGTTGCAAAGTTCTTATCAGCTCTTTGCAAGATTGCCTTCATGGAATTGAATCCAAGTCTTATGGTTCTGGATCAAGGTAAAACTTTCCTGTCTCATTTCTATTTAAAACTGCTACTTTTACAAATAGAAAAAATAATGTTTGGGACTTTAAAATAGGACTTTGATTGTACTTATTACTGTTTACTCAGCAATTAAGAGGTTGTTTTTGTTGTTTTTTGTTTGCTTTTTAACTCTAAATCAACTGTCCAGTGTTCGTTTGCTTAAAACCCTTCAAAGGCTTCCAGTTACTCTTAGAATAAGACTGTAAACATTGAGGTACTGTGTGATACAGTCCCTGTCTATCTGTTCAGCCTCATCGTGTACCTCTCCTCTTACTATTCTCTAGCCATACTGGTCTCCCTTCTCTTTCTCAAGCACTTGATCATCTCACTGTTTTTGTATTTGATAGTCTTTCTGTTAGGAGCCCTTTTCTTCAGCTTGTCACCTGGCTTTTTTTAAAAAATAAATGTTTTTATTGATTTTAGAGAGAGAGGAAGGGAGGGGGCGAGAGAGAAATCCATTGGCTGCCTCCTGCACGCCCCCACCTGGGGACCGTGCCTGCAACCCAGGCATATGCCTAGACCATGGGATGATGCTCATTCAAGTGAGCCACACCAGCCAGGGCATGGCTTCTTATATTTTTCATGCCTCAACACAATCTTAACTTCTAGCAAGGGTCTTCTCCCAGGACATTTTGTCATGTTTTGTTATTTCTTTCATAGTGCCTACTATAATCTATTCCATTTATTATTAACTCACACTTCTTTTCACTATACATGTTGAAAGGTGGAAGGGGCCTTACCCATACTATTAACTATAATATTTCTCTTTTTTAAATAACTTTTTTGGAGTGACATAGAGTCAAGTGTACATCATCCACATATTGTGTGTTCACCACCAAAAGTGTAGTCTCCTTTAATCACCATATATTTGACCCCCTTTACCTTCTTTGAAATCCTCTTACCTCCCTTACCCTCTGGTAGCCACCATACTGTTGTCTGTCTGAGTTTTGTTTTTTCAATAAATTTTTATTGATTTCACAGAAAGAGGGAGAGAGGGAGAAACATCAGTGATGAGAGTCATTGATGGGCTGCCTCCTGCATGCCCCCTACTGGGGATCGAGCCGGAAATTGTGGCATGTGCCCTGACCTGTAATTGAACGGTGACCTCCTGGATCATAGGTCAATGTTCAACTACTGAGCCATGCTGGGCGGGCTGCCTGAGTATTCTGTTTATTCGTTTGTTGCTTTCTGTTTTATATCCCACATATGAGGGAAATAATACGGTTCTAGTCCTTTTCTGTCTGACTTAATTCACTTAGTATGATACTCCCATGATCCGTCCATGTTGTTGCAATGGCAGTATTTCATCCTTTCTTATTATGGCTGAGTAGTATTCCCTTGTGTATATGAACTACATTTTCTTTATCCAATCATTTACCAAAGACCACTTTGGTTGTTTCTGTGTCTTGGCTACCATGTATGATGCTTCGATGAACATAGGGGTACATATATCTTTATGAATAAATGTTTCCTAATTTTTTTGGTAGATACCCAGAAGAGGTATTCCTTGGTTGTATGGTAGCTCTAGTCTTAATTTTTTGAGGAACCATTGTACTTGTTTTCCATAGTGGCTGTCATTACAATATTTCTAATGAATATTTCTTGAACAAAGGAGTTAATGAATGAATTATCTATTCTTAGTTTTTTTAACTAGGTAAATTCCATTTTTTAGCATTACTGCTGACCTTGAAATTTTAAATGTTTTTGAACGGTAGATCTTTAATCTTCACATGATACTCTTAGATCTGTCTTTTTGTGTACTTTATCTGGTGGTAGAATCTTCAAAAATTGAGGAAAAGGAGGTTTTCATTGTCATGGTCCCCAACTTTATAATTATTACATTGTGACCCAGTGTAAGGACTTTTGTATCTCAACAAATTAGGCATAGCTGATAAAGCCTTCTTTTAAACTTTTTAAGTCCAAAATAAGCACCTAGTAATGAATTTCAAATTTAGAATAGAATTTCTAAAAGTATTTTAGGCAACATACTTTGTTAAATTACCTGTGGGTGTGTTTTTTTAAAAGCGATTTATGAGACATTTCTCTTTATTAAGTAACAATGTAAATAGTATCCCAGTCTTTACTAGTAGTCATAATTACTAGATTTTCTTCTTTGCTTCCCACCACTCTTCCCAGCCCTGCCAGCAAACATGTATATATTATTAGAAAATTTCTTAGAGGAGTAACATTTTGGTTAGGTATAAATGTAAAATTGATACTTACATATAGGTTTAGGTAACCTGTGTTAATAGGTGGTAATTTCTATTTAAGTCTCATTGTATACTGAGTGATTTCATGAATTTTATATCTACAGAACTACCTTTTATATATTCTTTACCTTGAAACAGAAGTCCTTTGAAATTTTCTCTCTTACCTTTCTCTTTATTATTTGGTGAACAATACATGTCTGTTTTAGACTACCAGTTAAAATAGATAAAACATGATATTACGTATTGCCCTGGTGTGACAGGTTATCAATATTTGGGTGAATATTTTAAAATGGAATTTCTAGTTCATGCTTGTAGGTGAATTGGTAAATCATTGATAGTTCAGGGTATCATGAGTCTGAAATAGGCTTATAAAAAAATTTTTGCCTTAGATATTTTTACACACAAAAATATTGAAAATCTTTTTAAACTATCCAATTATGGAGAGCATTAATCCAGCAATTTCTTTTAGAAGACGTGAACGATCAAGAGAGAGGGACCATAGTAGATCGCGAGAAAAGAGTCGGCGCCATAAATCCCGAAGTAGAGATCGTCATGATGATTATTATAGAGAGAGAAGCAGAGAACGAGAGAGACACCGGGACCGAGATCGGGACCGAGACCGAGAGCGTGACCGAGAGCGCGAGTATCGTCATCGTTAGAAGGTGGGTATTCCTTGTTCTTGTTGTATTTAGTGTATGCATTATTAATGGTAATTATAACTCCGAGGCTATTGTTTATACAGTATATACCTACATTTTAAATGGTCCAACTACTTGTTCTGAATTTAATCTTCTGGAACCATCTGAGACAAATGACGGGTAAGTAATGACAGGTAAAAAAAAATTTGACCTCTAAGTATTGTGTTGCTGTTACAACTTTTAGCTTTCAGATTGTTAAGGGTCTTAAGAAAGCAAGAAAATAATCAAGAGGACTCATTGTCTACTTCTAAAATCTATAAATTGGAATTCTCTTATTCACATAATTTACATGTGATTTAAAATATATAATACAAGGAGTTATTCCATATATATACATACATATAAAATGTGCTTGGACTTTAAAAAATAAATTTAAAGTTTCTCTCCTGGAACTAACTCTGTCCCTAAAACTTTTAAAAGTACAGGATGGTTTCTCAACATTGAAAGAGCTTTTCTACTTTTAAAAAAACAACTTGTAGTAAAGACACTTTTACTAGCATCTGGTTTTTGTTTTTAAAAGAGAAAAAAAACGACAGCATCCTTTAATTCGCAAAGAAGAAATGAAACTTACTCCATAAAATGGGTTCAGGGTAGTCCATATCTAAGAATTTTTAATTGTATCAAATTATACATCCCAGGTTAGAATAACCTTGAAATAATTTTCTTTGATGTTTCATTCATAACCATAATCATTGTCTTTTTTTCTGTATTTTAAAACTTTCTTGTGTACATTTTTCATAAAGTGGGAAGAGTTGTCTGTTTCTACTTCATTTTCACGTGTAATTTTATTTTTATAACTGTGAACAGCATTTATTCATGTGAAAAGTGGGAGGGAGGAGGGCACTATAAAGGCTGGTGCATGTGACACAAAGGCTATTCTGTAAACAAATATTTTTCCGTTATATGTTGGTGGCATATTCAGATTAGACTAAAACAAACCCCTTGAGGTAACTACTCTTTACACAGTTATTTCCCATAGTCATGGGAAACATTGAAAATTAAGTGATGGTAATTGTTAGTATTTAAATTGTTATGGACAAAATCGAAGATTTTACCAAGTGTATAATTTATGATAGAATAGCAGTTTCTTTAACTATAATAGACACATTTTAACAATTGATAATTTTTGGGGTAATTTAGCAAATAAGCATGTAGGCCTTATTTTTATGGTACCCAATACGCTATTACATTATTTGCAGTTTTAAGGGCACTTTGAAGTGAAAAGGCCAGTTTTAATACTCTTCCTTGCATTTCAAATATGCATTTTGAATATTTATCAAAGTTTTAATTTTAAAATAGTCCTCTATGTATTGTATTATAGAACTTAAATACTTCTCAAAACATTTCTTTAATATGATGCAAAATATCTTTCACTTTTAAAATTAATCTTATTGAAATCAATACTGTTTTTCTGGATATGAGTAAAGAATTGAATGTTATATCATGTAAACTTAAACATTAAATTTTAAAGAGACAGGTTTTTGTCCCCCTGGGTTGAATAGATGTGATTTCATCTTATGAAAAACTTATCAGTGTCCATCAGTTGCTTTAGATGAATTGTGGCCAACTTATTACTTGAATGCTTATCAGCCATTTCATTTATATAATGGGGTACAGGACCTACAAGTCATATTTTTATTTAGACTCTGTTATCAACAAGATTCTATTTATTGAAGGCATGGTAATAAAACTTGCATATATTTTCAGTCATCTCTTAAGATTGGATGTCTCCATCAGGGGCTTCTGAGCCAGTTTGTACCCAAAATTAATTAATGAGGTTTCTTACTGGTTCTATTTAAATTAACATAGTCAGCCAAGTAACTCCTTAAAGTTCATTGTTGATTTTAAGTACTTTGAATTAACTAACATTACATTTCAGTAATGGGTACACCTAACTATATCATGGCTTGAGTTTCTTTAGATTCAGACATTAACTATGAATTCCTAACTTGCAAACTATTGTTGACATTTTTCTTAATCACTGATGTGTACCATACCAAAATTTTCATGTTTTGTTTGTACATTAATCAGAATTGAGTTGTAATATTGTTATGTGCCTTCATCCAAGCAAAAATTTTACATAAGCATTTCCAGTGCAAACACTTATGTTATTCTGGAATATTATATCTTTGCTATAGCAAACTTATTTATTGAGGATGAATAAAGGGATGGGGAATGGGATTAAATATAATCAAGTGAAAAACTTTTAAAAATAAACAGCTATCTGCACATTTAATCACCTGAATAATAAGGTCTGTTGACCTTTTTAGAAGTTTTAAAATATGAGTCCTTTTGAGCTTTCAGGTAAATCTTAAATTGACCAAATGGAGTAAGAGTAACTTGGAAGCTAAAGTGAATGTCACTAAGTCTGTATACAAATAAAACAATGTAATCTATTAAAGTGAATGATGAATGGCTAAAAGAGCAAGTTCTTAATTTAACTGGAAACATAATGATGTTGGCAAGCTGTAAATGTCTGTCCCATCTTAATTTTTTTTGTGTTTGAACTGTTGGTAATGTTAATTGCATTCTCTCATTTTAAAAATGTATTAGTTTTTATTAAAACATATAATATCTAGGTTCAAATAGATAGTATTTCAATGGGATATCAGTATTGTAAATTTTTGGTATGTAAATACATTGTGCTTTATATTCTGTAATTTCTGCCTCTATTCTCAGACCACTCTGAGCAAAACAAAAGTATTTCAGTGTTTTAAGATTGTACACTTAACAGAAATAATTTTGCTTTCATAGTTGAGTTATTTTCATATAGGTTGCATTCCACTTATTACTTGTTTGGAACAACCCTACTCAGTAAATTCTGTTAAGTCACTTTCTCTTTGTGTACTGAAGAGTTGAAACCAAATTATTTTTTTTTAAATACTCTTTATTCATCTCTCCCTTTCCCTGATAAATGAGGTTTTTTATATTCTCAAATCATTATGCATTTCTTTGATAAATTTAAGCATCATGTATGGAATATGGATTAAATAACTAACTTTTTATTGAATGATTACTTTTGCCATAAATATTATGATCTTAGGTGTTACTGTACAAGATTTAGGGTACTTTGCATTTCTTACTCAGTTTATAGTTTTTCATTAATTTGGGGAAAACAAAAGCCAAAACAAAAGGTTTTTTTATGTTGTTTCATCTTAAGAGTTAGTGTTACTTTGAGGCTTATGTGAAAATTAAATTCTCTTTAATTATCTGATGAATGATACTAGTGGTAATTAGATTTAAAAATTATTCTGCAACTCTTAGGTAATCTGAGATCTGCTTTGTATTGTCCAGCTTTGTGTTTTCCCTTATATCCTAACTGCCTGCTTCTTCTGGCTCTCACTCTTAATTTTCCTTGCTTTTAGTATTATTTGCAAAACTTGTCTGACTAGATTACATAGCTATCTTAATTGAAGTGCAGAAGGGTAGGAAGTGATCCCTTGAATGAATGTATATAGTGTGTTTTTGCTCACTGTGGTTTAAGAATATGGTTGTTTACAAACAATGTTCCCTCTTTTAAAAAATTCCATGCCAATGTGAGTCACTTTGCTCTTTCACCATCATCTTAGTGTGAAGTTTATTATTATTGTTCTAGTTTGTAAATTAAATTGTTCTGAATGAATAATGTTTTGAATGAATATTTAGTTAGCATTGTTTAACAAAAGCCTAATAACCAACAAGGCCTAGGTTTGCCTTATATGCTATCCAAATTTACTAATGTTTTCTGTGGTAGCATGTTTTAACTCTCAAAGTGAATACTGAATTACACAAGCAGCTTATTTTGAAATGTCCACTTCGTGAAATTTTGAGGACAAAGCTGAGTTTTGTTTGACTGTGGTGAAGTTCATTTTTATTTAGTGAAATGCCTAGAACAACAATCATGTAAAGGTTTTATAGTGTAATAAAAGGCTTTAGTTTAAATGAGGTAAGTACTAACTCTAAAGATAGTAAGACAAAAATACAAAATGTTTTGGTAGTAACAGGATTTTTTTGTAAACATCTACAGTAGACAGAATTTTGTGCAATATATACTAGTCAATGCAGGAAGGAATTTTGATTTTTAAAAAGATTTAACTTATATTTAGATACTTCTGTTTCTTTTGCCCACCCTATCTCTATTCCTCTTGTTAAGGAGAAATTTTGAGGTAAAAGAGAATTTAATTTCACTGAGTTAATAAAAGTACATCTCTAAAATTATATTAGAATTATTAAAATTCGATATATTAATGTAAAAATCTATAAAGAGCCATATCAAATATACATTTGGATCTTTTACTTGAAGGATGAGTTTGCCATGAGTTTGAGATACTGATGCTAACAAATTTGCTTAGTTTCTAACAGAAACACTCATGATTAGTTACTATTGATTTAATCTTACATTAATCTCAGCATGCAGGTGTTTCTGTTCTGAAATTATATTTAGTCTTCATTTTACAGATTTTATTTAAGGAGCTGTAGGTTCCATTTGTCATCTTCATTGTTTAATAACTGTTAACATAGATCTTCCTTTTATAACTGATAGCTAAAGCAAGTAATTGTGTGGCTTTGACATGAAAAGATTTGACCAAATGGTATTCTGAAAACAACAGCATTGAATGTATTTGTCACTTTTAAGCTTCTTTTTGATATCTTTGTTTATGTAGATGTCTACTTAGAAATTTGAAACTATAATATGGAATTGGATTATTGGAAATGGGTTGTATTGCCTTCAAAATTGCTTTCGTTTGAGATTGTAAATTTTGTATTTTCAAATGGATAACTGTAAAGTGTTTAGAAATAGAAATAAAAACTGTCAGAATATCCCCCAGATTTTTATGTCTGTATGGTGAAAATGAGAGGTTTATTAATAGTAAAGTTCTAACTATAAAGTATAATCATGCAAAAGATGGGTGCATTCGTCCTGGATAAAGGTGTGTGTTGTAATTTCACGAACAGGATTTTCTACATTAAAAGTAGTAAAATTCTCCACTGGAGTGATAAATGATAAAAAGTTGCAGTGTATGTCACATGATTTTTGGAAGGGTTGGGTATTTTTGTTTTGCTCACTGTGACTTTAAATAATTTTTCCCTCTTTATGACTTATCTCTCCCAGCATAACAAAAAATATAGATTTATTTTTTAGTAATCCGTTTTTTCATATTCCTTATCTCTTTAATACTGTGATACTAGTTTTTAAAAGTGCATTGCAAATAATAAAATAAAACATTAAAGCTGCCTTTCTAGATTTTTTTAATGAAATAATTCCACCAAAAGGTTCAACAACAATAAAATAAGGGTACAATAACAGGTAACATTAGAAATGGTTTAAGTATCTCTTTGAAAAACATGGGCAAATGGAAACTATTTAAGAGAAAGTCCAGGATTATAACATTGTTTTTTCCTTCTGCAGTTATAAAAATTTAGGTTTTTTACTGCTAGGCAATGTGAATGTATATTTGTACTGATGCTCTTAGGATTCTTAGAGCCTAGTGGAGAGGAAAGGACATAAAGGATAAAATTTATAGTTTGATAGAATATTAATTACTCAATTGTAGAGCAAAAATATTTCTTAATTTTATGGCAAAATGTCACTAAATATTGTGCTCTTTTACCTCTTACTACATCATCTTATTATTGAAATACTCTCTTGGGATTTATATTTTAAATACGTGATGTTTTAGTGATCACTTATCCAAGTTAATTGATTGTCTCTTTTGTGAATCTCTACTTGAAGCTTGCACAATTATGTATTCCAAAAATTTTAGTTTATCAAATTTATTGGGGGTTTTTTTCTTCATGTGAGTTTTCAATGAAATTTATCACTGTAGATTCCTATTTAGCTTGTTTTTGGTTATTTTATATATTACATTAGATATTTAAATATAGGAGGATTAGAGTGAAAGTAAAGTAAATGTTTTAAATTTGTATTACGTCTGAAGATTTGTACGTGGATGTTATATTTATTTAAATGTGCATACTGAGCTATATATTTACAAATTTTGTAACATGGAGGACCTTTTGATTGATAACATTTGCAGAAGTTCCTGTATGCTGTCAAATACAACTAATTTGTAAAATAACTTACTGCATTTTATATTCAATTCGAATTTAATTGTTAATGCATTCTATAGAATTTATGTGTTTGAATGAAAAATATTTACATTAAAATCATTCAAGCATTTTTAAAATTTATTTTTGTAGTGTGCATACATTAGAAAATGACTTATGTTTCCACCATCACAGAAACAGTAGCTGCTGTATTTTCACTTCTGTTTCAGTCATTAAATTTATAAGGCAATAAGGTCCAAGAAGAATGAAATCAGAATGTCTGAAGTTTTAATCATCACATAAATTGGGAGCATTTCTCCACCACAAAGGCAGCTACTGTTTCAGTTAATTCTTTGTGTTAGAATACGTAACAGTGAAATAGATGCACGACTTGTGTATGTATAGTTAAGCCAGCGTTTTTCTGTGTATTATGGGGAATAGCAAAATCTACATCACAAATTTTGACACATTACAGCTGAAGGAAGAGGAACACCTTCCAAGACAAAACAGTCTTCATGAGGGAAACATGACGCTTGTCCAGCAGTTTGCTTCTTGTGATTGAACTGAGCCTGTAAGGATTCATGGATAAAATGAACAGGAATAGATCTGAATAAAGCAAATCTGCATAAATGGTAACCAGTAGCTCTCCTTTTATTTTTTATGTTGCTTAACTGTTTTTATTTGAGGAAAACCTGTGTGATTTAAAAAGTTATAGCTTTTGCAACTTTATTACTGGTTATATACTTTTTGGCCATTATAATGTGCAAGCAACTGAAAAAATGTCAAGTAAATGCTTGTTTTTATAGTAGTTTGTTCTTGTTAAAAATGTTCATATGATAATGTCTGTAAACAGCACCACTTTGATTACAATAGATGTAGTGTTGTAATAAACTGTTTAATGGGGCTGATGTGTAAAGCTGTTCAAGTTATTTGATGTTTACACCTCAGGGAAAGTCTTGTGTTTAGCAATATCTAAAGATAATGTTACTATGACATTTATACTGTCCTTTAAAAAAGCGTTGCAATAGCATTTTTGGATATGCATTAATCTAATCTTGCGGTCAGTGAATTAAACATACTAATTAAGTGTCTGTTGCCCTTGGTTTTGATATTAGGATAGGTGATTACATGGATATTTAATATTTCTATATTCTGCTTTTCTAGCTGTTTTTACCTAGTTAGCTTGTGATTTTGCTGAATGGTATGTAAACCTGTAAAAAGTGACATTTCACAACAATTCAGGCAATGTGTTAGGGGTCAAAACAATTCTGTGGTTTTAACATTTTAGTAAAAACCCATACGTTATTTGCTACAGTAATGCAGCTTAATCACAACACAGATGTACTGAAATGCTTAATTGTAAACTGCTGGCATTGAAGAAATATTTTGACACTTCCGACTTGATGCGGCAGTTATTTGTGGTTTTATATTGATAGTGCTTATGGTTAATTTTTGAAGCCATGGGCAGTGTAAATACAGTCATTCAGCAGATTTGAGTAAAGAGAGCCTTAGTTTTATTTTCCGGTTACTATATAGATTTCTGATGGGTGTGATGTTTATTAACGTCAGGTTGTATTCTCCCGTGTGTGTATTGGGAGGTTATAGGTATACTCTATCTCCATCGTTTAAGGAATTCTGTGTATTTTTATGCAAACTATTGATTCATGGTAGAGTTAATCAAAGATCTTTCCCCCAAACCTGCCTTGCATATAGGCCCCCAGTATAAGCACTTGCCTAGCATATGTTCTTAATTGCAAAATTAGCATAGGCAGTGTCACCTTGATTAGACATTTTATAGGAAGGTTATTTTGAATCACTACAGAAATTTGAACTAACATCCTTAAGCAGGTTATAATTTGCTTTTAATGTTTTTAAGATCTGATTATCTTTGAGAGGTCTTCTGATAATACACATTGGTTTTAAAAAGTATCGCCAAATTTTAGGACAATGCTTGAAGTATTTTTAGGTATCCTAGATATTATGTCATGTGCAACTGTAAAAGCCTTCCAGAAATTTGCACTGCAGTTCCTCACTTTCATCTTGTGTGCTGTCACAGTAGTTCTTACAAAATTAGCTGTTTCAAATTATTCATATTATTAGTTTTATTTTACAACATTTCGTGAGAGTATTTATGCATGGGATCATTGGTGTTTATCAGAACTGTTTGCTTTCAAAATTTTTAAATGTTTTATCTTGTTGAAATGCATTTGCCCTTTTAACATTATTTGAGGGTTGTATCAAAATTGATTTTCTTGTTTTGTGTATAGGTGTTCTAGTTTTTATCATTTTCTAGTTTTTGATATTTTAATTACAATGCCCAATGCAAAGTATGGACATAAATATATTGCAAAGGAAATTAGTTAATAGTAAGCTTAAAAGGTAAGTAAATATTCAGAGAATAAAAATTTCTCTGAATGATGTTAAAATGGAATCATAAAAATCCAACTGTGTTTGAACTTGAAGTGAAACTGGAAATTTTATGCTAATTAAATCCTTCATTTACTTTCTCAATTTTTATCAGTGGAACCCTTTAATTGCTCATTCTATGTCACTCTCTTCTCCCTACATGGCTGATCTCATTACGTGACTTGTTACAGACAGTGTGAGTGTGCTAGAATTGCTTGCTGCTAGTCCAATATTTTTAAGTGTTGTCAGAAGGAAATAACTTCTTGGTTTGACCAGTTAAATTTTACAGTCGTGTTCTACCTGATAACACATGAATGTATAGCTATAAAGGTGAAAATTGCAATCCTTGTTTTATTTATATCCCTTCTGTTGTCTATGGGCTGATATGATTTGAAAAATACTTCTTTTTTTAATGTATTAAAAACAACCCAAAGAGATAAGTCTTTATTTACATAGACACCAAAAAAAAAAAGAGAGAGAGAGAGAGTGAGCAAGTCCTGGAGACCTTTCGTTTTTTTCGTAGTAGTAATTATAGTGGATATGAAAACAAATGTGAGTTTAATTTTAAGCCATAGCATTTATTGGTGCTATGCAGTCACATTCCTTTCAGTCAATAAAGTTATGTGTGAGTGATAACAGCACCTGAATGGTATTGCTTCTTGAAGCAACACTTTGAATTGAAACGCGCTGCCTTTAGTTTAGTTAGAGGACATATATTGTGGAAAGAATATTCCAGTGTAAATTTGGAAGTGTTTATTTTGTCAGTTTTCATAAGCAAGATTTGGACTAAGTTGCAGTGGCTGGTGATCATAGTTTAGTTCATTTAGTGTCCCGTTTACCTAGCATATTCTTAAGCAGTTAACTACAATTTGGAGTTCAAGTAACTTATGGATTGTAGTTTAGGGTATTATTTTCATTTAATTCTCCTGTGGAGAACATTGTTTTTTTTTACTAGTTTTTTAAGGTCAGTTCTTAAACACAGAGGTTTTAATGAATGTTGCATAACATTTTATAATGAAGGGAAAATTGTTGGAAGGGTAAAGACTTTCCCTTACATATTTAAATGTGCCAATAACTAAATACATACTGTTTTATACAATGAGATGCTACTATAAGACTTTCTGTTGGAGTGCTCTCGACATTTTGATTTTTATTATCTGAATGATCATTGCATTTTCTGTGTCTTATAAGATGGGTCCAACTTTGTGTTTTAAGATTCAGCTTGTTATTTTAAGAGAAAGTTTATGTTTGATTCTTTACCGAGAATACAGTATTGAGATTCTTGGCGTTTTACAGATACCTGCCTTTTAAATTTTAATCCATTAAGTTCATTTGCATCCCATAGCCGTTTGTAAATGTTTCCCACAGTTGTATGTACTTAAATGCACGTTTATCCATTGTACATATATGACATTTTTGTGCTAAAATACATTAAGTGGGATTTTTGTAGCAAAGCATTCTATTTTTCTGTTCTTAAAGTGTGTGTGTGTGTTTGTTGTTTTTTTACATTAATCTTCAGTTTAAACACTGGTGTATTTTTTTTTAGCGACTTGACTCTTAGAAGCCTTAGACTAATTTTTTAATAAATATTCAACCAAAAATTATAAATTTATTAAGATGTGGCCTTACATATAGCATTCCTTGTGTTAGTTATGTGAGATTTTTGATTTAGAAAAATCAGAGGATTCATGATTAAAGTTTCATTAAGTCGAAATAGAAAATGTGCTAAAATGTCTAGGCTTCTGGGAGGAAGTTCTTATACTCTTCTTTCTTGGCATTAGAAAGAAGCAATATGAATTTGAATATTCAAAATATTCAGGCAATTGTATGCTGTTCAGATTAATTTAGATTTGTCTTAACCAATGTTTCTTTAAAATTTCAGGTGGTTGGCATTTGCTGAGTGTGCAGCTACTATGGTTTTTGTATGGGATGTATAAACATTTGGTTAGTACAGACAGGTTTTAATGTTTTAAAGACTTCCTGCTATATTAACATTGTAATGGGAGTCTTTTAAAATATTAGGTAGAATTTATTTGAAGTCACACAAATTTTAAATTGGGTGTCTGCAGATAGTAAATACTACAGAGTGTTTTCCATTCCATATGAGAGTATCCTAAAACTCTGCCATGGGTATAAATGTTTTACATTAATTTCATACTTAGACCCTGCATTCAGGAAAAAAAAACACACAAAAAAACACATTTCATTTTGAAGTTGTTTCTCTCTCTCGTTGCATTGTTACTGCGTAACATTTCTCAGCATTTTGTAACTTATTTTAAAATACAGTGGTGAATTCATGTTTATTTTTTTTTTATGTTGAAAATTGAAGTACTCAGGTGGTATTTAATGGGAAAGGATCCTTTGCGGTAAATCATAGTGTATTCTAAGGAATGCATCTATAACATTGATGACTTTAGCCTTAAAAAAGGTCTTATTATTCCTTCTTCCTCTTCATCCCATGGTATATTAGCAAAGTAGTTTACAGTCTTGTACAGCCTTACAAAGTTGTTTTACAATTTTTGATGGAAAGCCCTTAACAAAAAAATTGTATCATATTCCAGTATCCATGAATTACTGAATCACGGTTTGTAAACGATTTGTCTAATACCAGAAGGCCAAAGAAAGTCTTGAAATTTTAGCTATGGTGACTTCACACAGTAAGATTCTGTGCAAAAGGTAAGGTGATCAAATGACATATTTTTGGTGTCCATGATAACTAGATTTCCACATTTGCTTCTATTAGAAAGCTCATTCCATTTTATTAAAATGTTTGTAATTGCAATTTTGTGTTTAATGTTTACTTTCTGTCTTTTCTTTCTTTAGCATTTAGGTAATTGTTCAGCAGTTTGCTGTATGGCCATTGTTGGTCTTAAACTGCACTAGTAACAAGCATGGTATTTATCTTGTATTGAAAATAAAACCAGTTTTGATAATACTTTGCAGTTTGTCCTTTTTGTTTGATTTATAGTTTGTGAACCATTGTATATGGTCTGAATAATTTATATCTATTGGCCATATGCAGTATAACAAAAATTGGACTGTGTTTGTCTGTATTTTGTATTTAAGCCAGACTCCTAGATAGTGGTTATTTTCTTCTGTATTGGTATTTGGTGGTCCTTAAAGAAGATGGTATCTGGCTGAAATTAAGATTTAGAAACTTAAACTATTTCTAGGCTCTCTTATTCTTAAATTTAAGATTCAGAAAACATTTGTCTAGTTTTAAGAGATTACTCACCTTACTAGACTTTAGTAAAATAAAAATGTCTGTAGAGCACACCAAAAATATTTTACCAGCTAGTTTGGAAGCGATATAGAGTGCTTTTTAAACAGTAACAAATTGTGATTTCAATGAGGTTTTTTGTGCCAGGTATTATATCAGGTCCCAGATTTCTCCATCCCATGCGTTTCAAAGTATGTTTAAAGTAACACTTCTAAACAGTTGAAATGACCATATGAGAAATAAGTTACCTTTATAGGGATCCCTTTCCATATCCCAGTTAAAATTGTGGTTCAGGTTTTGTTTCCCTAATAATACTCTTTGTTACATGTTTACATTTTAAAGAAGATTCCAGTCATTGATCCTCACTTGCATTTGAATTAATTGAGACTCTTGCAAAGAGTATTTGAAAGGAAAGGTTATTAGGAACCATCTTTTAAACCCAACGCCATACAAAACTTACTAAGAGTCAGTCAAGGCCTGATTAAGTGGAAGGGGCTTTTTATTAAATAAAGGATTTATAGACAGAATTTTGTAATATTTCCCATTACTTATAAACATGCTATTGTGCATAAATGCACACTGGGAGACTGCCTGCCATAAACCTGTGTGGCAGCCTGTTCATGTCCTTAGCTTTCTAACTGATCTGAACATACGACTGGGCATTAATGGGAGGCTGGGCATGAAGGGCACAGCTCACCCCTGTTGAGAGTACTGGGCAGTAATTACCTAAAGTTAACCCCAGCCCTGCTTACACAAACACAGGACAGAACATGCCCTCTTGGCAGAAGTTAATTGATCAGTTAGCATAAATAGGCAGATAAAGCTAGGAGTCATTGTGAAGGTTTTAATTAAAATTTTCATTATATCAAGCATCCTCAGTCTGCGGTGTCTCTTCCCTAACCTTTAAGTTTAGTCTCCTGCATTTCTTGGCACTCTTTTCCTGTCCATGGCTTTATGTATTAATAATCTGTCAGTTTCTAAATTGATAGTATTTCCAATTCAGACCTTTTTCCCAAACTGGAGTTGTAACTACCTACTGGAGACACCTGTACTCGAATAGTCATCTCAACTCTTCACCCTCAACCATTCACCACCACCCACATACTCAGCCCCCAGCCTTCCCCAGCAGCTAACATCAACACCATCGTTTCAGTTGCTTAGACTCAAAACATTGAAGTCATCCTTGACTCTTTTACACTCCATGGTCAATATATCAAGAAATCTTTTCGTCTACCTTCAGAAAATACCTAGAACCTGACCACTTAATACATTACCACTGCTTTCATCCTTCGCCTGTATCACTGCAGTACTTCCTAATAGGTCTTTCTGCTTTTACATTCCTGTAGTTTCCTCAGCACATCTTTCAAGAGTTTTCATTGTGTTAAAAAGCCTGCAGTGGTTCCCCATTTCTGTCAGAGTAAATCTCGTTTTTAAAAGGTTCTTCATGATTTAGCCCCCGTTCTCTGACCAGGTGTCCCAATACCTTCCCCACGCTCACTACATTTCAACCACTCTAGCCGCCTTGCATTTCAAACAGGCCAGGCATGTTCCTGCCTCAGCCTTTGCATAGCTATTCCCAGGTCTAGAATGCTTTGGATGTCTGTACAACTGCTAGTGAGGTTATTTTCGCCTTTTTAAAAATTTCTTTTAATCCTCACCCAAGGATATATTTTTATTGGTTTTAGAGAGAGAGAGGAAGAGAGAGAAAAACATCGATGTGGAAGAGAAACATTGATCAGTTGCCTCTAGCACCCCCCCTCCCTCCCCAGCCAGGATTGGATCCCACAACCTAGGTATGTTCCCTGATCGGGAATTGAACTTGCAACCTTTTGGTGTACGGGATGGCGCTCCAACTGAGCCACCCAGCCAGGGCTATTTCTACCTTTATACTGAAGAATGGGACCCACTATATCCTTTACTCTTTATTTTTCCAAGCATTTAGTACCTAACAATATATGTTATTACCATGCACAGTATATTTGTTGTCCAGTAGAATATAAACAAACTTGTGTTCTGTTAAGCCCCAAGTGCCTGCATCAGCATGTAGCACGAAGGTGTTCAATAAATATTTGAGTAAGTGTAGGTTTACCATATCTTGTTAGCTTAAGCTTATACTGTAGTTGCAAGAACTAATTCAGCATATTTCAAATTGTAGAGTATAACAAAAGTTGCTTTTTTAACCATTTAAAAAGTATATTTTAGTATATAAAGTACATTCACAGTGCTGCCAGCATCACCAGTATCCATTTCTGGAATCTTTTCAAGTTCTCATTAAACAGTAACTTCCCATTCCTGCCTCTCCCCCCATTCCTGGCAATCTCTACTGTACTTTGTCTGAATTTGCCTATTCTAGGTCCCTTGTAATGGGTAGAACCATACAATATGTGGTCCTATGTCACTAGCTTATTTCACTTAGCATAAATGTTTTCAAGGGTCATTTATGTAGCATGTGTCAATTTCATTTTTATGGCTGAATAATATTTTACTGTATACTACCAAGTTTTGTTTATCCATCTACCAGTGGACATTTGGGCTTTTCACCTTTTGGCTATGGTGAATAATGCTGCTATGACCATTGATGCACAAGCATCTGAGTCCCTGCTTGTGATTCTTTGGGTGTATACCTAGGAGTGGATTTGCTGGGTCATATGGTAATTCTGTTTAAACTTTGAGGAGCCCTGATACTTTTCCACAGCAGTTGTACTGTTTTGCACTCCCACCCAGCAATTCATGAGACTTTCAGTTTCTCCACATCCTGACCAACACTTATTTTCCTAATGGGTGTGAAGTGGCATGTCAGAATATTAACTTAGTTTTTACTTAGTTTTTATTGAATCAATTGCTTACACTCACATTTCATTAGCTTTCGTAATTCTAAATTATGAAACCACAGGAAAGAGTACTATCAACATAGTTTAGGAACAAACTGACTCATTAAACATAATTATAGCAGAAGTTGTGTGAATAAGTCAGTTGTATAGAAAGAATGTATAATATTNATAAGTCAGTTGTATAGAAAGAATGTATAAGGTGGTTATATGAGGAGCACCTTGAGTGCTTTTATAGTACTAACATGTCAAATGGTCTAAAAGCTTTCTACTAAAACTGGTCTATAGACTGTCAATGTCAGCATCACCTGGGCTGGGAAATACCAAATCAGGGGCCCCACTCCAGACCTCAGGAATCAGAATCTGCATTTGGACCAGATCCCCAGGTGATTTATATGCACATTGAAAACTGACAAATTGTGTTTTTAAACTGCTTTTAATGACTAGTAGGTATTTTAACTTACACCATGATTTTTTTTTAAAGATCCTTTTTTACACTTTTTTTTTTTTAAATAGAAGAAGGAAGAGGGATAGAGAGAAGAAACATTGATTGGCTGCCTCCTGCACACTCCCTACCACCTGGGCATGTGCCCTGACCGGGAATCAAACCAGTGACCTCTTGGTCCATGATGGAACCTACAACCTGGGCATGTGCCCTGACAGGAATCGAATCAGTGACCTCTTGGTCCATGGGTTGATGCTCAGCCACTGAGTCATACTGGCTGGGCTGCACCATGATTTTAATCAGTTCTTGTCCTTGGGTTTTCAAGTTATTTCACTAGGTTTTTCCACTAGTATAAATGATACTGCCATGAGTATCCTTATAAGTTAATCTAAATGTACATTTCTGTATTCCAAAAAATTTATTGGAGTGCTTGATTCAATGAGTGTGAACATTTGAGGTTTTTGACACAGGAAGTTGCCCTCTGATTTACCCAACTGTATGCGAAAATGCATATTTCTCCACATCCTTTTCAATAATGGGTACTTTTTAAAAATATCAATTTGGAGTTGAAAACGTATACTTAAATATTTTGTGATGTTTGCAGTGGCTTAATATTCTAAATGTTTATTTTAAAGTGTTAGTGTGATGCCATCTAGTGGTAGCTTTATGTGAAAAAAGGGTAGGTCATGACTTAATAATTCCATTTTATAATTGAGGAAACAGTTCAGTGTATGCATTCAGGCCCAAAGTAAGACAACCAGTAAAATGCAAGCATAAGAACTAGAAACTCCAAGCCAAGCTTCAATTACCAAGAAGTATCTGCAAGATTCTTTTCTAAGTCAGTGTTCTTGTTAAGTCACAACAGTTCAGTCAAATGGAATGAATGAAGTAATATTCTGATGAAATCAGTAAAAGCTTTTTTATTTCCATTCTTATACTGAAAATATTTCTAAATTTTCTCAGTGCACACAGTAAGTCATTTGAAGTCATTTTGTGCTTATGTATACAAATCATTAATTGGAGACTAGCATTTCTTTGAAGAAGTATATACTATTCTGATGTCATTCTGAATAGAATTCTCATGGTAGGTGTAAGAGTGGGCTTAGTTTTACTTAGCTATATAATACTGTTTTTTGTTTTTAACCCTAGGTGAAACTATCTTTTTAACCTTTAAAAGACGGCATTTAAATTCAGCTCTGCAGGCATTTACTTTTTTGCCTCTATCTTATCTATTTTTTGAGTTATTTATGAAAAGTAAAAACATTTATAAAGAAAATGTATTGTTTATT